ATTTGTTGTATGTGTCTGTAGATTTACCTATTGTGGACATGTCATGGAAATAAACTCATACAGTATGTAGGGTTTTATGACTGATTTATTTCACTTAGCATGTTTTTGAGGTTTATCCATGTTGTAGCCTGTATCATTAGTTCATTCATTTTTATGCCTGAATAATATTCCATTTTATGGATATACCACATTTTATTTATTCATTCATCAGTGGATGGACATTTGAGTTGTGACCACTTTTTTGGTTATTATGCATAGTACTGATGCGAACATTCAATGTTTGTATACAAGTATTTTTGTGAGGACATAAGTTTCATTTCTCTTGGGTGAAATCTGCTGGGTCATAGGGTAACTCTATGATTAGTCTTTTGAAGAACTGCCACAGTACCAGTACATATTTTTTAAATAAATAAATATATGTAAAAATATACATTGCATATTAGTGGGAGAAGTAATAGATTCATCAATAAATGGTGAGAGAATAACCAATTAACTATTTGGGAAAAAATACAGTTAGGTCTCTTCATAGCTTCATAGCAAATAAGAGAGTTTCAGGTGATTTAAGTATTAGATCATTAAATTAAAAGAAAATATAGATGAACTGGTGTGTCCTTCTAATATGGGGATTATAATATGGCCTCTTATTAATTCTGTAATGTTCGTCTATATTATAGAATTAGTAAGGGGCCCTAATATAACCTCCATTTTATAAACTAAGAAAAGGAGTTTGAGCTTTGTCTTTAGCATGGGGAGTTACTGAAGCATTTTAATTTTAGCAGGTCTGTGACATGGTCAGAATTACACATTTGAAAGCTCATGCTGGCCAGAGGGAACAGTACTGGGAGGAGAAGAGGCTATTGTTACTGAGGCCATCTGTGAGGATAACAATCCAGAAGACAGTGAACTGGACACAGTGATGAGAGTGGACAGGGCAGGCAGGGGGGAGATTCCAGCAGAGGCGAGGGGAAGGGCTGGTAAACAATGTGGTGGATTGAATAGGAAAGTCACGGGGAGAAAGTAAGGGCATGAAATGTTATTCCTTAGATTCAGATTGGTTTGGGAGAGAAGATGAAGTGTTTTGACTTTGGGAATATTGAGTTTGAGGTATCTCTGAAACACTCAAATGCCATTAACCAGTAGAGACTTGGACAGAAAGGTGCTAGGTGGAGAATCAGTTTGAAAGTCCTCAATGTAGAGACAGTTGTCGCAACTATAGGTGTGGGTGATGTCACCTGCAAGTACTGGGAGCTGACTCAGCACTGGTGCGTAGGAGGGTGGAGAAGGGGCAGTAAAAGATTGGAGACACCCAGGCAAGAGGAGTGTCATGAGAGACAAGAGTATAAAGATGGTAATGGTCAGAAGAGTCAAAGACATAGAGACAAATGCAACAAGAACTAAAAGTGTCATCAGATTTGGAAACGTGAAGGTCTTTTGTAACCACAGTGCTGTGGGCAGCCAGAGCCAGACTGCACTGTTAACGCAGTAAGTGGGAAGTAAGGAAGCAGAGGCAGAAAAGACAGACAGATCTCTTGGGAACTTGCCTGCAAAGGGAAGGAGATGAACAGAGGTGCCTAGTTAGAGACAGAGAGCAAGTGAGGGGGCTGTTTTTTCAGTATGGGTGAGACTAGAGCATGTTTCTGTGCTCTGGGAGGAGAACTGAAAAAGGAGTTGCTGATGACAAAAGAGGGAAGAGGTAGGATCCATCAGGAATTGGGTGGGGAGGGCTGCAGCACGGAGGCAAGGGAATGACGCGTGGGTAGGAGAAGCAAGACTCCTTCAACTTAGGCAGCAGGGAAAGAGACAAAGGCGGACACAGGCACAGCTAGAGAGAGAGAGAACAAAGTTGATGTAGTTGCACCTGCGGGTCTCTCTTCCCTCAGGGAAGTAGGTAAAAGCA